CATTTTTAACATGCAAAAATTGTGAACGATGATTAAGATTTAACGCACCAGTTGTTTACTAAATAACAATTTTTTCAACCTAAATGTTGCGTCGCCCGACCATAGCTGCTAACCTTGTCGTGATGGTTGGGCTTGCCTATCGTGATAAGCCAACCGAGCTATATTGGCTGGAACATATGTCCCACCATGCCAGGTAGGTTGATTGGAGAACGATGAGACTAAAATCAGCTACTCAACATCTAACAGCGAAGTCATACTGCTGACTGTAGAGAGATGTGACAGCAGTAAGGTGTTCCCCTCGAACAACCAGCATCTACAGCGATGCTGGTTATATCGACCAATCATAAACCAGCAAACATAATTATGACAAACTTAATTTCACTCTTTGATTTATTTGATTTTAGTAGTTGGTTGGAGAATGGAATTTCACACAAAAATTAGAAATTCAATAACTTATATTTCCAAACTTTTAATAACCATGATTCATATTACACTGTGTCGATGAGACACTGTAATTTGAAAGATATAGATGGTCATTTAACAATATGTGTTAATAGATTTATATCTCAGTTAGTCAGTCAGTCAACAACAACATAGAACTTCGTACGTACGTACATCAGTTCAAGTTGCCATTAGCACATTAGCACACAAAGATGCAATTGTCACTTCAAATTTTTTTTTCACATAAATCTATCAGTAAAACAGATTTATATCTTGAATTAACTGAAGTTTAAGAAGAGCGGATGAATGATTAAATGATTTTGATTAAATGACTAAGTGATATTACAGTGCTTTTTATGCTATAATCAATTAACGGTTAGAGTATAAAACTTTCAAATTCCTATTCACTTTACTTTGGTTTAAATAGCTGGATAATAATTACAAGAATTTAACATGATGTAGGTCAATTTTGCCATAACAAATTAGCACAGATAGACGGAATCGCCAGTTCAAATCCCATAGTCGTAGAGATTGTTAGCGATAATCAAAAAGACTAAGGATTGTGGAGCTTTCATTGTTCTTCTACTGAACAACATCATCAGCACAAACTTCAAATAGAAGTGAAGCGCATTCGAATTTCTCCACGTTTGACCTGTAGCTTGTTCTGCTAACCTCGATCTTGATTGGTTGTTGTTGACCTTTGACCTGTCGTTGTTTGCAACTTTGTTTTGGTTGCATCCCCCTTTTGATCTGTTTCTTGATCCTATATCACCTATGATTTTTCTGATTGGTTGGTAAATTGGGTCAATGTCGATGTGTTTGTTAATTGCTGATTGACTTGAGTGCCAAGCTTCTAAAAATTCTCTAGTGTTCTTTGTCCTCCCCCTACCCAATATTTCCACATTTTTCCAATCAAGCACAGAACCAAATAAACGCATCATCCTACCATACATCAAAGACATATCGGAGCATACAGCACGACTACTGAGACCATTTGGAATAGGTGTGGCACACAAACCAACAGAATCACTTCAATCAATCAGCCCTATGTAGACCAAAGGACAAAATGACAAAGGAAGAAAAACCAAATATCATCTACAAAATAAATTGCTCAAACTGTGAAAAACACCACATAGGACAAAGTGGACGACCTCTTCAGCTCCGTTTACGTGAACATCAATAAGTAGTCAAACGCCACGACAACGCTTCGCTTATATCAATACACACCGACAATTATGGACACACATTTGCTTGGAACAATGTGGAAATATTGGGTAGGGGGAGGACAAAGAACACTAGAGAATTTTTAGAAGCTTGGCACTCAAGTCAATCAGCAATTAACAAACACATCGACATTGATCCAAGTTATCAACCAATAAGAAAAATCATAGGTGATATAGGATCAAGAATCAGATCAAAAAGGGGATACAATCAAAACAAAGTTGCAAACAACGACAGGTCAAAGGTCAACAACAACCAATCAAGATCGAGGTTAGCAGAACAAGCTACAGGTCAAACGTGGAGAAATTCGAATGCGCTTCACTTCTATTTGAAGTTTGTGCTGATGATGTTGTTCAGTAGAAGAACAATGAAAGCTCTACAACCAAAACAACCAGCTCAGAGAACGAAACACCACCACAATCATCCACCTGAGCTACAAGTTTTCTCCACCATCTCAAGACTAAGGATCGAAGATATGACTGGAGAAGTATATACCAGTGAGATAAATTTAAAAAGAGAAAGATAGACGTCATGAAGAATTCAGAAGATAAGAATTGAAGAGAAGACAAAGAATGGATGCATCTGTGGCCATTGCAAACAATTTCGATCCATGTCATTCAAAGTCTTTAACCGCCTTTAATTACATGGTATATACATGTTCATTTGTAACGGCCGAATATTTTTTTTTCTCTTCTAAGTTATCAGTATACAACTAGTGATTATTAATTATTGTTTATGTCATAAAATTCTAATCAATGTACTGATGTTTATCACTGGTGAATAGTGTGTCTTTTTTTTTGGTTTAGAATTCGAGTATACATAATCAATATTTACTTATTGAAATTAATAGACTGTTTATTTTTAATTTGTCAAATTTAATTGAATTCATAGCGGTAAAAAATTTGGCATATATTATTAAATAGGTAAACTGTATGATATAATGCTTAGCAACGAACTAAATTAGTTACGTTAAAAAAATTTTTGTTTTCAATCAATCTGAATGAAAGGATAACTCATCATCTTATTTGATATATTCAACATGCAACGGACACCATGTATACACACAAACAAAAAGTGAAAAACTAAGTTAGTGTATTTTCAACAATTGCGTTGCAACATTATGTATGCGAAGGCTAATGATACTTAACCCAGCTACTCAAACCAAACTAGGCGGAGCAGAGACGTGAACCTAGTAATCAAACATAGAGAGATTGTAGTCACCTAATCTCAATTATAGGTGACTCTGGGATTGACCCTGACAATTTAATCTCAATGTGTGTTAATGAGATATGGCAAATTCAATAGTAGATTAAAGGTTAAATCAAGCTATTTGTAGTTCACAATCCTTGATTGTCACAATCTATAACAAAGGAAAAATGTCTTTTTGTGACAATCACAGGAGAATAAGTCTAACTAATATAGTATCTAAAATATTGGCCTCAGTAATACTTCGACACTTAACGAAAGCTCGTGAACAGCAGACTCGAGAAAACCAGTCGGGTTTTCGACCTGGACATGGTTGCATAGACCACATGTTTATACTACGACAGGTCCTGGAACACAGACACACATTTAGGCGTCCTACAATAGTTGTTTTCCTGGACCTTAAGGCGGCATTTGACTCTGTTGATCGTGAGGTTCTGTGGCAGTGCCTGTCATTGAAAGGTGTACCAAAGAAGTACATTAACCTTATACAAGCTCTCTACTCGAACACCACTGGTCGAGTGAAAGCTTATGGCGAACTGTCACCGGAATTCTCTACTTCAAGTGGTGTCCGTCTGGGATGTCCACTTTCTCCATTCTTGTTTAATTTTATCATAGACATGCTCCTAGAAATAACCCTGTCCTCGTCTGAATTTTCAGGAGTAGACCTTTTACCTGCTGGCTCGCTTATTGACTTAGAATATGCCGATGACATAGTCGTAATTGGTGAAGACGCTGACAAAGTGCAGTCTTCTAAATACCATAAGCAACAATGCAAACATGTTCGGGATGCGGTTCTCACCCTCGAAATGCAAAATGTTGCTTCAAGATTGGGTTTCGTCGGCACCTGAACTAGTGATAGGGAGTGAAGTAGTCGAACGTGTAGACCGCTTCACTTATCTTGAGAGTCTCATCAGTGCCGATGGCCTAGTGACTGACGAAATCTCAGCACGGATACAGAAGGCTCGATTGGCTTTTGCCAACCTGCGTCACTTATGGCGTAGGCGTGATATCCGTTCGCTAACCAAAGGACGAGTTTACTGCGCAGTGGTTCGCTCCGTCTTACTTTATGGCTGTGAAACATGGCCAATGAGAGTAGAAGATATTCGTAGGTTACTGGTTTTCGATCATAGGTATCTTCGAAGCATTGCTCGTATATCCTGGGACACCCGAATGAGCAACGCTGTTATTAGGAAACGGGTGCTAGGTAAGAATGGCAGATCAATAGATGAAGTAATGAAACTTCATCAGTTGAGGTGGTTGGGACATGTGCTGCGTATGCCTAACCACCGACTGCCTCGACGAGCTTTGTTTTGTGGTGTAGGAGTAGGTTGGAAGAGAGCTAGGGGCGGCCAGGCCAAAACATGGCAGAAATCCATGAAGTAATTGACGAATGGACTCAGCCATGTCGGTAGTTGTCGACTACCTGGTTGGGGTCCGCGAGACGATAATAATCGATGGTTAGAGACCTTGAATGACATGGCTCAAAATCGTTTGCAATGGTGCCAGTGCATTTATTCTTTGTGTTCTCTCAAATCCTAATCTTCTGGATTCTTCAACACCTCTAGTTTTTACTTTCTAAACTTTTCTCACTGAATCATATTTCTTGAATATCTTCTCATCCTAACCTCTCCGATTACTTCTAGTACCTTTACTACCTCTTCTACTATTGGATTTGAATTGACAATTATATCTCTGTGCTGATGTGGTATGGCAACATGAACTTATGTACTCACGTACAAAGTTCTACGTTGCATCTGACTGACTGACTGAGTTCACAACTTTAAAGATTGTGGCATAAATATATAAAGAGAAGATAACAGTTTTATACATACAATTTATAGTGAACACCTGTGCACAAATCAAATGTGGACAAATTTCTTTAGATCGATACCAATAAATTTAAGCTACAATAAGTCAAATCAAAGCTCCTAGTCAGCCTACCTCTTGATGTTTAATACCAACCAACCAACCAACTAACTAACTAACTAACTACACAACTATCATGTTTGATCAATAATGAAAGATTAATTGCAGAGAAAATTAAACTCTACACAATACTGAACAATCATTCCATAATCATATATATATAATTCTAAAATAATAATAGAAAGAAGAAAAAAAAAGTAAATTACCCAATGCCAACAGGATATACACTTGTATTATAATGATTATGTAAATATTCTGTAGCATCATCTCTTGTAGTAGTAGTAGTAGTATTATTAGTATTATTTTGCGACTGGGCTGAACGATCTCTTCGTCGACCAAGTCGATTTGATCTGGAATTACCATTATTGTTATTATTTGTACTGGCGCCGTTACCACCACCACCACCTCCATCACCGCATGGATTACGATCGTGTACAATGCGTCGATTGCCACAGATTTGTTTAATTAAAAAACGTACTACACATACTAACAAACAAATAATGCCAATTGCTCCAATTATTCCACCTAATATTTTATACAATTGAAAACTATTCTGTTCATATGAACAATATGGAATTAGATTAGTATCGGAATCACTAATTTCACGATTTAAATGTATTTTTTCATTGGCTTCACATTCACTACATTCAAATATTGTATCACCAGCTTGTACAAACAAACAAAAAAAAAAGAGAAAATTAAAATAAAAGTAATGTATAAATAAGGAAAGGCAAACATTGGGATTTTGTTGATTGAATGAATAAAACTGGAGGTTTATTAGGAAAAAAATGTTCAGTTTTTAATCATGGTCTTAGAGACCTGGGTGCGAGCCCAAGGGACAACTGTTTGAGGCCGGTCACGCACGGCCTTTTTATGAAACGTTTTTAGAGGATTAGCTCCGTTCTTAAAGGCCCTTAGTGGGCACCCTTACCCAAGGAGACGGAAATCCGTGAGTTCTACGTTGCAACTGACTGACTGACTGACATGGATTAATCTTAGATAGATCACTACTGAAAACCTGAAAGCAATGAAAGGCCGTTTCTCGTCCTGATGTGAGAACAATGAACGTCTACGACCTCGCGTCCAGGATCTTTAGTCTCATGCGAACTAATTAGCCTTAAGATCAATGAATTGGCATATAACGGTGTGGTTTAAAGGCTGTGAAGATTCTACACTGTTCTAAAATCCTATCTACTAAAGAAATTTAATTTTTACTTCAGTTTGCGTAATAGATCGTCATCATATAGAAAACCATTAAAAATCAAGAGGCGATGATGGGCAGCTACAAAATCCTAGTATAGTTGTTCATTAGTAATAAGCACTAGCGGACATACACTAAGGATCCAATCCATGTATTTTAAGTATCAAGGTTATCTTAATACTTTAGGATTAAACAGTTGGAATCCAATGAATCATATTCCCAACTTTAATCAATTTACAGTATATACTGAACAATCATCAAACGCGTTTTGGTGATTGAGTGATTGCTTTACTTACGAGAAAACTTCATTCATTAAAACTTTAGACTAGAAGTCCAGTAATTCATCTTGAAGTTAGTTACTAGTAAGCAAAAGGTTGTTTGGTTGATCTTTGTAGAAATTAGTTTCATTTTCAAAATAACAACAACTGTTATTCATTTTGATTACAAATGAAGATTATCTTACAAATAAATAGTAGTCAATCCTATTGCAGAGTTGCATACTAACTGTAAGTAATAATAGAGGCTAATAAAACAACTTTTTAATCGGAGTGCAGAGAACTCAAACTATTGGAAGTAAAACTCATTGAATATTGATACTGATTTACAGCTGAAGATTTTCTTTACTTATTCACAAAATTGTGTTTACGTATTTAAAAAAAAACACGTTTACAATCATGAATTTTTTGAATCGAAAAATGTATTGCGGTGGGTGATAATAAATGGGCTGTTTCATAAACTCGGTTGGAGGTTGTTATAGCTATTCACTTTGTAGATAGATGTATATGTATTTGTCTTTAAAATACACTTTGTGTGATGGCTTAAATAGCTGGCCCGCTACATAAACCGAAGAACGTAGACTAAAGTTGGAAATCGCAAACTATTATTTGAAGGCTGGGTGCCTTAACTACTAAGCTATTGTTGCCTCTGAATGCCCTAGTGCGGCGGAGTAGGAACAGTTCTCTCTTTCTCCCGACAGGCACTCACATTGTATACGGAATTTAGAGGGTGAAAACAGAGTGTTCGGAACTATAACCAAGTTAGTGAATACGAAAGATCCAACTAGGGAAGTCACAAAACCCTGATTCCAGACCAATAATGCACATAGGTTCCAGGATCTTGAGGGAACCAATGACAGGAGAACTTGTTGTTGGTCACCGGCTAACATAGAACCACATCTCCTAACTTCACTCTAATGCCTAGTGGATTAAACCTTCAGGTCAAACGCTAGGAGAGTGACTTCCCAAGAAAACCGCCTGCTTTAGTTTTCATACCCAAGCAGTATCCCATCTCATACACTGATTTGTGCGGCTCATATAATATTTTAGTGCTCCTTATTATCAATGTTTAGTTGTTTAGAAAAATAATTATAAACAAGACAGTTTCAAATCTTACACCTCTCGATCAGATATGGGGAACGCAGTTATTGTTATTAGTCCTTGATATAGTAAAAATTTGACTTAAACAGAACACACAAACCTATGTATTTGGTGAAATTAGTTCAATTAAATTTGTCATATATTCCAACTTTTGGCAAATAAAATAAGTGTTACAAAACCATGGGCTAGTTTGTTTTTTCCTATACAGGACGATCAGATAGGAAACTTACAATGTACAAAATTAATGATTAGTTTAGTCAATGAGAGGTAACATTTTCTTACTAGGTGTATATTTATTTATATGGATTTACTGTGAATAATCATGACGCGAATGAAATAAATTCATAAAATAGCCAACTTTTATTTGTGATATTACCAACAACAACAACCTAGAAGACTACTACTACAAATCACCATCATACACATGCGCTATTTTACACATCGATAACCAATGAATGACCTTATGAATTAATAATCCTAGATCAAACTTTTCATATTATATATATATATATATATATATATATATATATATATATGGCACAAACACGTTACAGCACATAACCAAGATGTGAAAGGAAGACAATGTGTATGAAAGATGATTCATGTTGATAGTATATTGATTAGTTGATTAAGTTTACAAAAAAAAAGAAAGAGAATCTTGATATTTGTAAAATGATAAAAACCGTATTATTATTATTATTTGAAGGCAACGTAAACGTACGTACATTTTTAAAAAAAAAATAATATTAGTGATATTATCAGAACTAATAATGTAGATTGAAAAGTATTAGGTTACCTAGGAATCAAATCAATTAACTGTATATGAACAAATTTCTTGGACATATATATATGTATCACAAGAACTTATTATTTTAACTAATGTTTTTTTTTTTCAGTTTTAATACTATTGTTACAAAGAGTGAAAGTTTTTTATATGACAGCTTTGTGTTAAGTGCTACAATGACACATACGTTTGTCATTTAACGGTAAGTCTTAAATATTAATATAAGGTTGTGGAGATTGTTGAAATTGTGAACCAATTTAAGTTAGGCAACGGTTGAAAACCTGAAAACACTGGATGGCCGTTTAATCTTAGTATGGGACTCCTCAGCAGTAGGCATCCACGAACTTACACACACTTCTAAGTTTAACTTAGATTGGTTCATGATTTTTATGTAGGTGGCAGTTACATATGGGAAAATGGACTTGTCAGAATCATTATAGTCATGGTGTGGTGCGAGCTACTTATAAATAGTATATAACGTGAGTGTCAACGTAATGTCTGGCAGCAGAAGATGGGGGAAGATCAAGAAAGGAAGAGTTAGAAAACAATGGAATTTGTATGAAACGCATGAATAGTGACAATGGATTGATGTTTTGCAACAGGAACAGTCCAGTTCGATAGGATGAACTGATATTTTGCAAATTAACGATTTACGATATGGTTTTCCAATTTTACTGAGTCACTCTGTAATTTTCGTTAAATACAATTCGGTTGCCCCACCTGTGTTCTCGTTCACTACAATGGTAGACGCTCTCGATGGAATTGGCTCATATGACTCATAAATACTTTTTCTTTCAAGTACATAACGGCCTTTAAAAATCAATTCAACGGTTATGCGAAATCATTTCGTGAAAACGCAAAGCTATAGGGTTATTCTCCGCTCCTGTTTAAAATGCTTTACCGCCGGAGATGGAAATCCGTGAGGTAAGGTGAGGTGTGACATTTAAAGGGTCGACCTTTTCTAACCCCTTCCTTCCTTGTGATAAGGCAGCATTGCTGCAGATGCCGGTTGTCCGAGGAAAACACGTTACTGCTGTCACACCTCTCTGCAGTCAGCAGTACGACTTCGCCCTCAGACCTTGAGTAGCTTCTTTTAGTCTCTTAGTTCTCCGATCGACCTGCCTGGCATGGTAGGACTTACAGGAACATATGTTCCAGCCAATATAGCTCTGTTGGGTCATCACGATAGACAAGCCCGACCACCATTTCCAGGTAGCAGCTACGGTCGGGTAAAAATAATTTGTCGATAAATCAACTTGCTCAACAGGTATGAAGTTATTAGTGAGGGTAAGTATTTATCAGTACGTTAAAGTTTGAACCAGTAGGCACTGCATTTGAATGTCGATGTGAAGGAAGGTACATCCAACTGACTATTCCTGAATAGGATAACACATGCACCTGCATTCCACTACTAGCCACGATCGAAATAAACAAGAAACTTTTATAATTGACTTATCGTTGAGTAGTGACCAATATCATATTTATCTGGTCCTTAAGGTGTTGATCGAGTTCTATAGATCAAGTTGCAATGAGATCAGCAATTTAAGTAACTCAGTATAGCATGCATTATGTTTAGAGACTGGATAACTGAAGCTACTCAACAGTGAAGACTAGACTTAGTTTTTCATCTAGGGTTTCTTGTTGAATAACTTTAACCACCTAGCAATGCTGAAAATATGAGTGAAAAGCACAATACTAAGGAATTTTCTCAAGATTCACATTTACCAACAGAGTCTGATCAAGTGCAGTCGTGAATATCAACAACGGGAAAATATAAATCGTTACCAAAAAACTTGTGGAAACAGTTACAGAAAGAACGGACGTTCATAACAGAATTATGATAGGAACAAAGACAATAGTGGAGCATAGAGTACATATTAAAGAAATAAATCCCAAGAAGAATTATGTTTTCTGGTTAGTATTTTGTTAGAGAGTTAGTTTTTTTTTGCGGGTCGGGGTCGCCAACCCCACGCCCAACCCTCCTCCTTTATCCGGGCTTGGGACCAGCAGGAAATTATAATGTAAATGTTAGTTTGTTAACCTCGTCATTGTAATAATTTACGTAGATTTGTTTAAATTATCCTATTTGTCGTTTCTAATGGCGTAGGTGCATCCACTCTTTGGGTTCTCTGAAATTCTAATCTTCAAAATTCCTCATCATCTCTATCTTCCTCTTTCTAAATTTATCTCACTGAAATATACTTCCTGAATAATATCTTTGATCCCTAATATTCTCAATTACCGCTAATTCTCCTACTATCTTCATCACTAAGGGATATGAACTGACATTAGCTTCTCTGTGTTA